AGAGTCAGCAACGTTGTAGCTTTGACTCCTCTTCCACAGCCAGGAGACGCTCTCTGACTGTAAAGTGCCAGGTGATTATTTGAGTCTGCCCAGAAAATCCGGGACAACCACCTCCCCCAGTTCACATCTGCAGAGCTCTTTTAGTCTTTTAGAGCTTTTGAGGCTTAGGAAGGGGACTCCTCGGGGCCAGGGCCGCCCAGGTGAGCACCTCCCTGTAGCCCAGCCAAGAGGAAGACGGAGCCAGCTTGGAGGTGACAGCAAGGGAAGAAGCAGGTCAACCTCCCATCATTGTGTTGCGGCGTCTCCAAACCCTCAGGAAGGCTAGCACAAGGGTGAGCAGTGTGCCGCCCGAGGGCAACCACCCCGCTGCCCTTCCTCCAGTGTGGTGTGACAGGTGCATCGCCGCACCCGGGTAGCTAGGGGGTACGTGGCTGTGTTTGTGCAGCTACCAGATTTGAGTTTGGCAGTATGTGGTCTTACACTTTTGCTCGCTGTTGGTGGCAAAGATTTATGTGCTTCTTCCGGGACAGGTTTCTTCCTCACTCAGGCTCCCGTTCCCACAGGTTTACTGTATCGGCACCTCCATCGTACCTAGCAAAGCCTCCAGGGCTGCTGGAACTCCCACGGCCTGCACGCTAACATTCTCCCCTCTTCTCCTTGTTTTAGCTTCGCCTCAACAGCATCAAGAAGCTGTCCACCATCGCCTTGGCCCTTGGCGTCGAGAGGACCCGCAGTGAGCTCCTGCCCTTCCTGACAGGTATGGAGATGGGATTAAACTTGGAGTCTTTCAGGATGAGAGACAGAGGTGAGGGAGGGTGGGTAGTAGGGGTTGATTTTGCGGCACTTTCCTCACTTGTGGCAAACGGAGCAGCCCTGTAACACGTGGTGGGCCCTTGTGAAGGGTCAGCGGTGTGGCCAGTTGCCCTCCTGCTGATGCTGACTCACAGCAGCCCACGTGCCCAGTGTAGAACTAACTGCCCTGCTGGGCTTTCCAGGCTGTGGCTGAACCTATCTCCGAAGCCCCTATGGGTAGATTTGAACCGCCAACCTCGTGGCTAGTAGTCAAGAGTTTAACCATCAGTGTCACCTAGTGTTACTTTATTGCATTAAGGAATCTGGTGTTGTATTAAATTAAGTTAAATTGTGAGGGGGTAGGGGGTGCCAGCCCTCACCGCTACTACTGCTACTACCCACGGGTTCAGTAATGCACAATTGTATGCTTGAGATATATAAGTATTATATTAAAGTCATCGAGAGCATGAGAGATATTACAATAATGCAGTCAGACACATTACATGGTAGCATGGCTCACCTCAGCCCAGCTTGGTGGGCCACGTGGCGAGAGGGGGAAGGGAAGGAGGACAAGGGAACAAGGGAGAGGGGTCAGAGAGTCTCTCTTGCTGACCTACACCTATATACCTTTTGGGGGCATGCCAGCCCACTAATTACAGGTAGAGACATATGTCACAGGGAGGGGCTGCACTATAGGTTACACAGCAATGAGAAGGGGTGGTCTAGGGGGTGGTCTCTGGGTCTCCATAGGAACCATTATCAGTAGGGTGAAAAGTCTGCCTACAGGAGCCTGTCCATTGCCCCCAGAGGTGTCGTGGCCTGTAGTCCAGGAATGGCGGGGCACCCAGAGTAGCGGGGGCTGCAGAGAGAGACTTCTCTGAGCTGTGGGGTCCCAGGTGATGCTTTGCTCTGGACCACGAATGTTCAGATGAGCAAGGGAGACACGCAGTATCAGAAAAGATGACTCGGGACACCCCCTGAGCTCGCCCTGAGAACATTTCAGAGGGGGTTTTATCCCCCACTGAGGAGGATGTTCAAGTGCACCCATAGGTGCCCTGGAAGAAAGGCCTGGCCTGGCCTCCTTCCAGAAGGCCCCAGGAGGTCTGCTGTGTCCACATGGAGTCACCAGGAGTGGGAGCAAGTGGCAGTAGAGTGCTTGTCTTTGTTGCTGTCGGCTTTCCCGCAGGGTTCGAGAGCAGGGCCAGGGCCTTCAGCCCTACTCTGTGAGGGGAGAGGAAGTCTGGGGTGAGTCTGCTGCATGTCCCCGCAGGGAGGCTGTAAGGTAGCTTGCTGCTGAAAGACTCGGTGGTGTATACAGTGATGCATGCTTGGCTACTTTCTTACTGGAAGGTTGGTGGTTCGAATCCATCCAGAGGCTCCTAAGAGGAAAGGGTTGCCACCTGCTCTCTCCACATCAGTCATTGGAAACTTGGAGCACAGTGGGGTCTCCAGGAGTGGGACTCACCTCGGCGGGAACTGGACAGAGGCCCGGGGTCTTGTCCGGCCTCAGGAGCCATGGTTTGCGGTCTGCCTGGGGTCCTGGCTGTGAGACCTCTGCCCATTCCGCAGAGAGGACGGTTCCCTGTTGAAGAGACCAGTAGTTCACCGCTCATGGAAAGCGGGCTTTTGGTGGTTGGTCGTGTACATGTGTGCTAACCCGTAGCTCAATGCAGGCAGGTCAGCATGACGCTGCAGACCACCGTTAGACCACCACAGGAAAGCTATGGGTTCCCAGCCCATAGCCGCTCACGGAGGCTCTGTTAGGTGTGCGATTCCACCTCAGAGAAACCCTGCATGGGTTTCTGCGTCTGTACAGGAGCAGGCAGTCGAGGGTTGATTGGTGGATTAGAACTGCCGACATTGTGGTTAGTGGCCCAGTTACTAACTCACAGCACCACCTGGGCTCCTCATTGTGTAGTAAAAACCTCCGAAACCACACGCCCTGCCCTCCAGTCGATCTGGCTCGCAGCGACCTTGTAGGACAGAGTAGAACTGCCCCCGTGGGTTTCTGAGACTCTGTTGACGGGGGCAGAAATCCCGTCTTTGTCTCGCAGAATGGCTGGTCGTTTTGAATTGCCCACCTTGTGTTGAACAGCTCAGCGCGTCACCACTCCGGCACCAGGGATCCTAGTGTGCAGTTGCAGTAGGACGGGGTTGGGAATTTCTCGAGAGTGACCAAACTGCGACATAGAGACAGACAACAACGTGAGCACACGCTACCGGGAAAGTGGTGCCGGTCGACTGGCTCACACACACGCCTTCCGTTTGTGAAAGGCCTAGTCAGACAGAGGCGCGCAGTCGCACGAGGGCTGTTTCTGGGTGTGCTGCTCGCTGCCTGGAGCGGGAGGCCTGATCCCACCCACACGGTCTCTGTCTGCTGGGAGCTCGTAGCCCCGCAAGGGGAGACTGGGCCCGCGGGCTGCGGCGGCAGAGGGGAGGCCGTGGGCTGGGCTTGCAGTGGCCGGCCTGTCACCGAGTCTGTCTTGCTTCCGCAGACACCATCTACGATGAGGATGAGGTCCTCTTGGCCCTGGCGGAGCAGCTGGGAACCTTCACCACGCTGGTGGGAGGCCCAGAGTTCGTGCACTGCCTGCTGGTGAGTCCACAGGGTGGCGGGGTCAGCCAGCTGGGCTGGGGGTGGGGGTGGGGGTGTTGCGCAGAGTCGAGGAGAGGCCTTCTCAGACCAGATGGCCGGGAACATCCTGCTCCGGCTCCATGCTGTGGGGCAGTGCCCATCAGTGTGTCGAGGGGAGTAGAACTGAGCTGCCCGGGCCCCCTGGCTGCTCTTTCCAGGGGCCGACCACCAGGCCTGCCTCCTGAGGTGACTCACACCTCTAACCGTGTGCCTCAGGGACTCTATTGAGTCAGCAGCAGTGGCCGTGGCAACACCAGGAACACCGAGGCATCCTGACCAGTGGGCATCTGCTCAGGGTGGGCACGGGATGCTCCCTGGCCCCTCTCTGCACCTTCCCTTGGCTCTCAGATGGAAGCACTCAAAGCCACCCTTAGCCCAGGGACTGGCCAAGGTTCTGACGCACAGGTCAGCTAGCAGATAGCTCTGAGGGAAGGTGAGAAGTGGGGCCGGCCAGCCGGTAGGCCTCTGTTTCCCCTCATTTAAGATAGGACAGTGACCAGCCCTGCTTCAGAGGGCTCAGTGCGTTAGAGCCGGTGCCCCTGGAGTGTGACACACTAGCCTGACTAGAGGGCGTTGGAGTCAGTGCTGTCATTGTGGGCCTTCCCCGGGTGACTGCTAGCAGAGAGGATAGCGGTTCTGATGCCCCCTGAAGTGCCTCAGAAGAAAGGCCTGGCGATCCCTTTCTGAAAGGGCACAGCCTCGCACACACAGTGGTGCACAGGGGCTTCCCGTGAGCCCGTGTGGATTGGATGTTCCTGTCCTGCTGGAGAAACTTGAGAGAGGCGTGGTTCCCCTCTCTGAAGAGGCTGGGGATGGTGAGGTTGCCGTTGGGTGATGACCCACCTGCCTTGTGCCACAGCCGCCCCTGGAGTCGCTGGCCACGGTGGAGGAGACGGTGGTACGGGACAAGGCGGTGGAGTCCCTGCGGGCCATCTCGCACGAGCACTCTCCTGCAGACCTGGAAGCCCATTTCGTGCCACTGGTGAAGCGGCTGGCAGGCGGTGACTGGTTCACCTCCCGCACCTCGGCCTGCGGCCTCTTTTCTGTCTGCTACCCCCGGGTGTCCAGTGCAGTCAAGGCAGAGCTCCGACAGTAAGTACCCACACAGGAGCCCCCTCTGGGCTCCAGACACCCCACCCCCCACCCCCCACCCCGGAGACTGAGGTCTAGAGGCTGGTGTGCCTGAACCCCGGTGCCTCCTCTCCCAACTGCTCAACTGCGCACATGGGAAACGGGACCACAGTAGCTGCTCTGAGCGGTGGGCACGCTGATCTTGGCTCATGGCGCCTGCGTGGCTGTGGGAGATCTGTTCTCTGTGCCTCAGGGTTAGGGCCTGACGGGCCCTGGGGAGTCCCACTCCTGAGCCCTAGCTTGCCCCCAGGTACTTCCGGAACCTGTGCTCAGACGACACCCCCATGGTGCGGCGGGCCGCAGCCTCCAAGCTGGGAGAGTTTGCCAAGGTGTTGGAGCTGGACAACGTCAAGAGCGAGATCATTCCCATGTTCTCCAACCTGGCTTCTGATGAGCAGGTGGGCTGTCCCCCCAACCCCCAATCCACCCCCTCCTCAGAAGGGGAGGTGGAGCCTAACTGCGCCAACCTCTGCCTAGGACTCTGTGCGGCTGCTGGCGGTGGAGGCCTGTGTGAACATCGCCCAGCTCCTGCCCCAGGAGGACCTGGAGGCGCTGGTGATGCCCACCCTGCGCCAGGCTGCTGAGGACAAGTCCTGGCGAGTCCGGTACATGGTGGCCGACAAGTTCACAGAGGTAGGTGAGGGACACAACCTGCTCCCACAGGTGGGGAAACAGACCCTCAGAGGGGGGCGGGCACGCCCAATCCTATGACTCCGCAAGGTCTGGGCTTCAAACTCACCAGCCCTGCATGGGAGGGGAGGTCCTGCTCTTGTAAAGACCACAGCCTGGGAGACCGGAACAAGCAGTTCTACCCTGTGCCACCAGGTTCCTATGAGTCCCTGTCGTCTCAGTGGGGTGGCACTTGGTTTAAATTCTTTTTAAAAAAAAATCTTAAAGTCTAGTCATCATTTTGGGGGTGGGAAACCTGACATAGAAATGCACAGACAGTGGTATATGAACGAATGACCTGATACCACGCTGTACGAGGGGCCTTTTGAGGTGTGTGGGGAAGTAGAGTTGAAAAATGCAGTTGGAAAAAAGAAAGAAAAATGCAGTTGAAGGGTAATGGAGTTTTCCCACCAGCTCTCTGAAGCCCCCCCGCATGCAGTGCACGTTACTGTTTGTTAGCTGTAGGCAGACTACCTTACCTGTCCTTACGTCGGGTTTCTGCACCTGCCAAACGCCTTTCCCGCCCCTCTTCCTGTCTGCAGCTCCAAAAAGCAGTGGGGCCTGAGATCACCAAGACAGATCTGGTCCCCGCCTTCCAGAACCTGATGAAGGAC